TATGAACGTGCATCAAAGGGTGTGCGCGCGGTGTGTGTGCGCGAGAGTGTAAAGCGCATAGAGCCTGCTGTTGAGCGGGGATATGCGCTATACAAATGCTATTTATTATTATTATTAATATTATTTATGTAAAGGGTGAGCTTAGGTGCGAAACTACAACCAATGACTCTTCGTACAATATCTATGAAAGAGGTGGAAGAAGGAGAGTACATCACCTAACTAAGAGTCTATATCCATGTCTTATATCTCCATCCAGCCATCGAGGAGAGCGGAAATGACGTGCTGGGATGTCTGTCAGAAGTCAAACTGACTTCCTGCCAAGGGGAAATGGCGGACTACTTTTTCTACATGGGCGTGGTGAAGAAGTTCGCCCCTCCTTCTGAACAATTGTCGCAAAACACCATGGAGACTCTCTTGTGCAGGTTGGTAGAAATTTGAACCGAAACTCGCCACACGATCACTTAGCGTCTAAAAACACAACGTTTATATAATATATCCGGTTAATCATTAAGTGGAAGCGTATTTAGAACGTTGGGTACTCGGTCCTTTGCGTTGTCAGTTCTTTTTTTAAAGAACAAAACACACACACACACACACACACACACACACACACACACACACACACACACACACACACACACACACACACACAAAAGAAAAAAGACTGGGAGAACTAAACGAAACATTGAATGCCTAAGGATTGAACCCCAGTCTTCAGCTTGTGATCGAAGCCCATATCAAACCACACAACAGCCCAACAGCAGACACGATGATGACCTCAAGTATCTACAATATAAACATTTCAGATCTCTTATGTCTATGTCCAGGGGACGCCCTTGTCGAGCAGTAAGCCCTCGGACGTGCAAAGAAAAAGTAGTGAGTTATTGGGGGTTGGGGGGGGGGAGTATTTATTTATTTGTGTACGACGGTCTGAAATATGTCACAGCATCGCCCATGGCCTGCAGCTGCTGCTGATCATACATATTATTTTTTGTGTCTGTTACGTCATTACAAAGCGGCAATACTGTCTTGTCTACCCCTGCCTCTTTTGCCTTCAATTTCGCTAGTGGAAGCGAGATGTTCAATGCCTTCATGTCTATTCAAATGTCCCTAGAACCACTTTAATTGTCTTTTCCTGGTTGTTTTTATCAGCGAGCGGCCCACGAGGGGCTTCCTCAAATTTTACTTCATTTGATTTCTTTTCCTTCCAAGATCGATATTCTCAGCTGTTCCCTTAGAAACCCTATTTTGTTGCTTCTGTTTTATTTTCACTGTCATTAGTGATTGCCCAGCATTCACAGCCGCGAATATTTTGGACCTGTGTGTATAATACAGTAATATATAGCAAGGGTCTGTGTAAATATGTGTCTACCAGTACGACCCGCTGTATATCAGAGACTCACTGCAGAAGTAACAATATAAATAAAAATCTATATTATAATAATATACTTAAGCTATATAAATTAAATGTACGTTTTCCAATACGATCTGATTCTACCGTGCGTCAGTAAAAATACATGTATAAGCTATGTATAACTGTGTGTCTGCCAGTGCGAACTACCGTACATACGCTTTATTTTTGTGTATACATGTAAATGTGTGTCTTCCAATACGATCTACCGTGCGTCAGTAAAATTACATCATGTATAAAAATAAGCTATGTGTAACTGTGTGTGTCTGTCAGTGCGACGGCCCAGAGGCGTCAGTGTGAGGTCCAGGCACTGCGCGCGTGCAGCCCGGCCCTGGGTGACGTCATGGGCCAGTTCTACACACAGACCAAGCCCGACGCCTGTGTGAGGAGAGAACGCCAGGAGGCGCTAAAGGCGGCGGCCGCCGGGGACGCCAAGGTCAAGGACGCCGAGTGATGACGTCATGGGATCACGTGACCTCTTTACTCGACGCCGCCGGGTTGGGAGAAAGGATGAGGGTCGAGACGTCTGTCCCCGCGGTTTTATGAAAAAAAAAAAATTTAAAAATCTGAAATTCTGTTAATTTTGAAATTATGCAAACTGAGCCCAAAAATGAGAAATTGCGCGATTTTGTACATTTTGAAATTATGCAAACTGAGCTCCAATATGTGAAATTGTGCGATTCTGTTAATTTTGAAATTATGCAAACAGCCCAAAAATGTGAAATTATGCGATTCTGTTAATTTTAACAAAGAATGATAAAGGAAAATAATCAGAAATTATGTAAAAAATGATCAAATTTTGCTAAATTATGCTCGGTGCATAAAACCGCGGGGACAGAGGAGTTTGGGAGGAGATGGGGACAGGTTGTGTATGTGTGTGGGGGGTGGGGGGTGGGGTTATAATTGTTATCAACCCCGTTCAGTGACGATACCCTGCCCTTTATTGTAAAACGGCCAGCCAATCAGAGACGCCTGCCTATACAATGACCAATCATGTTCAGATGTGCATTTTTGTAGCGCCTTCTCTGATTGGTTGAAATGTTTGTCTTATCAATGCTGTGGCGTGATTGGACGGTTTGGTTGACACAGTGACCAATGGGGCTTAAAATGTTAGTCAGGTCAATAATTCTTCTGATTTTCTTATTTTTTCTACGTTTTTTATATTAAAACACATCAGTTGAAACGTTTTTGTGTTTGGTCAGTTACGTTTTCATGTTTCTCTCCAGGTTTTTGAAGCCCTTGTCCAAAGCTTGGAAGTCAGATTCAACAGTAGGCTTACAGATGATAGAACGTTTTTGACTCTGAACATGTCACTAGGCCTAAGTGTCCATATTTATTAAGCAGTTTATGTCTTCAGTTCAATGGCCATCTTTAAGACAGTGTGGTGAAATCAGGTGCTCGTAAAAAAAATTTAATCAAGGAAACCTGGATTTTTTTGGCTAAGCCTACCACGTTCTGTATTCATTTAAGAATACATTTCCGTGTGGATTTTAACTGTAAAATGTGTCCCAAAGACACGGAAAGTTTTATTTTACAGTTTCCAAGGACACTCAAGCTTGAAAGTCACAACATTTTGGCAGCCATTTTCTTGCTTATTTTACCTCTCACATCAGGCGACCCCCACCTCCTTCAATAGCAAAAATTGATACTTCTCTTCTAGATAGATGGGCATTTTTTTGCAAAATGCAAGACAAATGAACAAGCTTTTAGATGATCCTAATTATAACACAATATGCCCAAAAATTGACGAGCCCTTAATACCATCCCATCGTAACTTATTTTTTTTGTTCTGCTGGACGGATGTCAAAAGGACATTATCAAAGTACAACATAGACTAAAACATCTTTTATGATACTGACCTAGATAATTAGATTTAAAACACACAAAAACAGTGTACGATTCCCAAGAAATATTATTATATAGAAGGGTGGCCTTATAATACCTACCGGTATTCACAAAATACAAATAAAAAGAAGACACAATCTGATGGTAAAAATTTCAACCAAGAAAACACCACTAAAAAAATTCAAATATATGAAATTTTATTTGTACAAAATCATACATGCATATAAATTACTTCAGCGATTGCTATTAAAACCGGAGAAACATTTTCCATAAAAGCTAAAGATACCCTGTCTCAATTCAGAGCAAAACAGAACGGAAAATACTCAAAAATTGCGTACCCAAGACAACCCAACCCTCTTTTCTTGAGAGTGATCAGGATTAATTGAATAAGCTACACGTTTGTTGTTGTTGTTGTTAGCGATCCAGTAGCATCTGAGCGTTAACTCTTCTGCATGATGCCATTCGGTAATAGTTGCATGTTTGTTCTAATTGTTGTCTTGAGGAGTAGAGGCAATTAGATGTGTGGGGTAGCTTGGGAAGAAAACATCCCCTTAAATCAGTTAGTTTTCTACAGAAGAACAGATGATCTACACGTTTCAAGGCTAAAACATTTGTTCCCAGTCCCTAAAACTAACAAAGCTCACCCGAGTGTTAACTAGTTCAGAACCCAAAGACAGACATTTTCAAATTACAAACTGCCCAAAAATCTGTTCTACTTTCGACAATGCAAATGATAACCCAGTCTCTGCCAACCTCAACAGGCCCTAAGACAGACTTTAGACATGCCATATTACTTACCTTGACAAAACAAAATGATAACTTTATAGAAAATAACAGCAGTCAAGAACTTGTATTTGGAGACACCAAGGGCCACCAAAAGGTAACACTGACACAGTTGAACAACATGATTTGATGTGACATATATAGGGTAATTAAACCCTCTACCCACTCGGACACACTCGGTCCATCAAGCAAACATTTCATCCGTTGGTTTTTGCTTCGGGACAAAGAGCTGCATTCATTGCCTAAAGGAACATGGGAAAACCTTCAAATAACTTACCCTCTTTGTACAGCCTAGTAAAAAACCCTGAATTACCACACCAGTTTAAAACGCTGAATTCAAGGTAGAATTTTTTAAAACAAAAAAAACCCCTGGAGCCCAACAAACACACTTTAAAATTTCAGAGAGGTTCATCAACCATTCAGCTATCATATAAAGTGACTGCCTTTGACATTTACTTCGGTGAAGTGCATCCATTCGTTGTTTAATTATGTTTAGTGTGCCTGGTTGCGTGAACGATTAAAGTCGCCAGCAGTAGTGAGTGCATACTACGGCCTGATGACTAAGGTCCCCAATGGTACTATACGTGATATACCACAACCCATATGACTGACACTCTCAGATACTGTTAAACACAAACCAGAGGGCAAAACTTACGAGGTATTTGAAAATAATGCCCAATCATAATTTTGGAGATAATTTGATTTTAATTTAGGTTGGGGAATATCGCTTAAGTTAAAGTACCGTCGGGGACCTTAGTCATCAGGCCGTAGTACGCGCTCACTACCCCATCAAAATTTTGAGGGTCGCCTGATGTGAGAGGTAAAATAAGCAAGAAAATTATGATGGAGACTATAAGCAGACAGACTCTGGGATGGATCCAGAAGAGGGGGGGGGAGAGCAGAGATGGACATGTTCCAACAGCAGTGACTCCAACACAGTGAACAAGTAAGAAGACAATGCCCTATCTATCCTTTCCAAAAATCGATGTTTTTTTAAAATGAATTCTCAAGATTCAAAAACGCCTTAAAAAAATTTGCTGCAACAAGTCAGAGACATTTCCGACCAAACAGGAACATTTACAACAATCAATAAAATAGGTACCGTACACAAATACACAAACAAAACAACACAGACTGTTATTCACACAAAGTTTGGATTTGGGGTCCAACATCACAAGACACTCCTGGTCGAGTGACCGGAACAGCAAACAAAGAGCCAGACTGGCAAACGCACACTTTGTAGGTCAGCAAGTTGGGGTCAATGGGGTCAGAGGTCGTGACCTGAGGCATCGCGGGGTCCACATAAACCCCTCGGCCGGCAGCGAAGATAAGGCTGGTCTGGAGAGAAAAAGAGTTTTATCACATTGTCAGTGTTAGTGCAGTCTGATAAGATAAGAAAATACCATTAGATAAGATACAATAAGATAAGATGAATTATGTTTATTGTCCAGATCCTGGCACATTGGTTTGTTTTTTCACCACACACACACACACACACACACACACACACACACACATGCATACTCATGCACGCACAAACCCATACGCTCATTCTTTCACCCGAAGTCAACGTTATATTATAACCTTTACTTTAACATGGATATGTGGATTGGAATAAAAGTTAAGCTTAGAGTTATAGATTGGTTCTCAAGCCACCGGGGACAGCTTGCCGTGGCGAAGTCACTTTCGCCGCGCTGCTGCCCACGGCTCGAAGTAGCGAATGAGTACAATTTGTACTCCAAGTACAACTTGTGGACCGAGATCAGAGCAGAAAATGGTAATGAAAAGTTAATCCGGAAAAAAAAAATATCTGAGAATGACTCCCCCTACCTGAGACTCCAGGAATATCTCCGAACCTTTCATATCGACCTCCTGACCACTGATGACCTCCACGCCCTCCGACCCTGTGACCTCTACCTGGTTCAGCGCCGACTCGAGGTACAGGTCGCTGATGTACTCCACGGACGTGATCTGAGGACAGCGTGTCGTTATAATATTATTATAATAGACATACACTTACATATTGAGATATGATGAAACGGGAAAAGATATAAAAATAATATTTCTTTAATTTGAAAAATGTGACGGTTGAGAGCCTGGTTTCACAAGCTTCTGCTACACAATATATAATATAAATACACATATAATATATATTATAATTTCAACTCTCTCTCTCTCTCTCTCTCTCTCTCTCTCTCTCTCTCTCTCTCTCTCTCTCTCTCTCTCTCTCTCTCTCTCTCTCTCTCTCTCTCTCTCTCTCTCTCTCTCTCTCTCTCTCTCTCCCCACAGTTTTATGCCCCAAAAATTCTGAAATTATGCAAACTGAGCCCAAAAATGTGAAAATATGCGATTCTTTTAATTTTAACAAAGAATGATGAAGGAAAATAACCAGAAATTAAGCCCAAAAAATGATCAAATTTTGTTAAATTATGCGGGGTGCATAAAACCCTGGGGACAGCTCTTTCTCTCTCTCTCTCTCTCTCTCTCTGATTCCCTCATTTCGTCCCTCTTTCAAATATCCCCTCATGCCTTATCCTTCACTGCCAGCACAAATAGCAAAATAACTCTAAGTTCAAACAAAGGGCTAACATCAATATAAACATAAACATATATCCAATACAATCATACATACATATATATGCAAGTAACAGCCATACATGGACACAAAGCTGTCAGAATTATAATGTCTCCATCCAAATCTTTCATAGACAAACACCTCAGAATCTTACAATGAGGTTGTTTCAGAATGCTATGAAGTCTGCTGGGCTAATAAAACATTGTAAAGCACACCTACAGAGCTTGCCTGTTGAACAGGAGTTTGCACTTTACAAATGATGTCTATTATTATTATTATTATTATTATTATTATTATTATTATTATCATTATCATCACTATTATTATTATTATTATTATCATTATTATTATTATTATCATCATCATTATCATTATTATTACTATTATTATTAGTATTATTATTATCATTATTATTATTACTATTATTATTATTACTATTATTATTATTATTATTATTATTATTATTATTATTATCATCATTATCATTATCATTATTATTATTATTATCATTATTTTTATCATTATTATTATTATCCTTATCATTATTATCATTGTCATTATTATTATTATTATTCTTAATACAGACTCCCCTCACCTCAGTCGCCGTCACATTGTCCACTAACAGGTTGGTCAGTATTCCCAGGTTGGTCAGTGTGGGCAGGTCAGGAGACAGAGGCTCCTCGCCCTCCGCTGTCCTCACAGAGAAGTCGTCACTGGTGACCGTCACATTACCGCCCTCCAAAGTGACGCTAGATCTTCCACCGCCAACTGACATAACTCGAGCCTGAGATATTTGTAGGAAAGGAAAAATAAGATCAAATTAAATGCTCAGTGTGGGACTTTGTCATTATGATATGTTTTAAAATGTGAGGCATCGTGGTGAAATCAGGCTCTCATCAAAATAATGAAATCAAAGAAACTGGCATTTTTCTGTCCGTTTGGCAATTTTTATTGCATTTTTTGTTGTTGTTGACTCAACCTTTAGGGTTCATTTAAAAACACGTTTCTGTGTGGACTGTTACTGAAAAGTGTTGATTTAAGGCCCAAAATTGTAAATTTGCAGTTTCTAAGTAACCTCAAGCTTTCGAAGTTGCTGTTGGCGACCATTTTCTCGTAAATTTACCTGTGAAAATAGTCAACCCCCACTTCCTTCAACAGCAAATATTGCGACTTCTAGTCATGATAGAGGAGTATTTTTTTTCACTAAAAGTGAGACAAATGAATGAGCTTTAAAATGGTAGGCCTTCCGATAACTCCACAAGTAAAAAAATTGACGAGCACCTGATTCCAGCGTGTCAAGATACATTTGGTGTAAGGCAGAGTATTACATAATATTATGTAGTTGAGATACAATTTAATTATTCTCCAGGAGAAGAAAGTTAACTTTTTTTCATTAATATGTCCTGTCAACAATGAGAGGTTCTACCCATACCCCACAATAATGTGCTTTTGCTATCTACAAAAAGCTTTATGACAAAACATACCATATGTTAGATTAAAAAAGCTTAATGTCCTTTGCCCTTTTGCTGAACTCTGAAGTTAAATTTTAAAAATGAGTTCATTTTTTTCACAAAACAAACTACAGCCCGAAAAACAGACTATGCAAAAAAAATATTTGGCCATATAAAAATATAAAATTGATTTTATGAAAGAAACTGCTGCTGTGTGGAAAAAGAGAGGGAAAGAAGAGCAGAGGAAGACCAGAGAACAAACAACATACACAGATGGCCAGAACAACTTTGCAAGAGATAAAACAATCAGAAAAACCGAGCTGATCAGGAAGACAGACATCAGGAAGAAGTGGGGTACCACAATCGTCAATGTCTGCTCCAGACCTGACACCTGAAGAAGAAGAAGAGGAGGAGGAGGAGGAGGATCAAATGGAGGAAGAGGAGGAGGAGGAGAAGAAGAAGAGAAGAAAAGGAAGAACAAGAAGATCAAGAAGATCAAGAACAAGAAAAAGAATAAGAACAAGAAGATCAAGAAGATCAAGAACAAGAAAAAGAATAAGAACAAGAAGATCAAGAAGATCAAGAACAAGAAAAAGAACAAAAACAAGAAGAAGGAATCTACCTTAGAATCCTCGGCTGTCATTTTGAGGCTTGAGTTGTAGCGAGCTCCGAGAGAAGCGTTGTCACTGAAGGACAGAGAGATGATCCTGGCGTCTGCCAACACCCGCATGAAGTCCCGGCCCTCCATGCTGGTCAGCTCGATGGTGGTCAGTCCGTTGTGAGTCATACCCAGGATGTAGATGAGCCAGACTGTGACCTGTGCGACAACGGGTTGTGTCATGGTCAGGATTCAAGGGACTTGCCGTCAGAGATACTGAGCTTGTCTCTAAATTTTATGGAATAATTTTTTTGGGGGGTCCCGTGTCCTGATTTTGGTGCCAATATTTGTAGGTTACGTAAAAATGTATTGACATGTCGCTAATTGTTATGTTTCAAGGAAAAAGAAACAAGAAAAACAAGAAAACCAAAACAATAAAAAGAGGAAGTGATTAGTTGGTGATAATGATGATGACTAAAGTAATGAATTAAGTAAGATAATAAATAAATAGAATTTACTATATTGATACCTGTGTCGATATTTGGGTAACAATGGCACATGTCATTAGAAATTAGAAATTTAACTATCTTTGCAATTCACGCAGCATTCAATTTCTCTAGGTAAAAATGTTTCATCACAGATTGGCTGCTCCCTTCTTCTGAGGTGACAATTAAAGTTTATTCTAAGCATCCTAGACTTCATAAAAGGAAAGTGGAAAGTTTGTTGTTGTAGCTGGTATTACCTAAACACAGGACATGATTTTTTTTTTTACGACAACCAATTGAAGAATAAGTTTCGGGTTCTCTTGATTTGTCGAGTATTTCCATAGAGTCCACTCTCTGAATCTGACGCCATAACACTTACTTAAAGGCTCACTGTATTGCTGGCACAAGTGACTTATTTATGGAACTGAAAATAGAACACGGCACATACAAAAGATTAATAAAAGCACAAATTACTCACTGCGGCATTGAGAAGAGCAACTATCAATAATATGATCAAAGTACAGTACAGGAAGTAGCGCTTACGTCCCCTGATACCCGTCCGGTGCAAAACCTCTTCATCCACCGGCACGTAACCTGCTCTGGAAGAGGATAAAAATGTTGGGTCAGAGTCAGAGTGAAAACAATCCTTTTCAAACCCTGAAAAAAAATACTGAGCATTCATTCAATAAATGACAAAACCTGATTGTGGCATCCATAATAATATGCAGTGTGACAAATCATAATAGTAAATTATTAATGGGAACAATCTCTCGTCAGAGTTTATTACTTTAGCAGAACATTTGTTACTTTCAGAAAAATTCTGGCTACCAGATAAAGCACTTCACACAGTAGAGTGACTACACATACATTAGGGAAACATCCACATTTTACCTCTTTACCCGGTTAAAAGGTAATAATAATAAATAGCATTTGTATAGCGCATATCCCTGCTCAACAGCAGGCTCTAGGCACTTTACACTATATTATTGATATATCATTGATAGGATTCAGATTATACTGCATTAATTTTGAGATCCATTATATTCAAGGGAAAACATTACAAGTGTGAGCCTTCATTTTTCTCTCCTATAAATAATACTCATTAAGTTTTTTCCACTTTCAACATTTTGTGTCTATTTGGAGAAGGAGCAAATTCAGAAATTGAAGAAAGGAAAGGATGGAAATTAACTCATTCGCTACGCCGAGCCGTGGGGGGGCGGCGCGGCTCAAGTGCCGTCAGTACGTTAAGCCGCCCCCGGCGGCTCAAGAAACGACGTTCAATTTTAGCTTGGTTTCTATTCCAATCCACTTATCCATGTTAAAATAAAGGTCATAATATAATGTTGACTTCCGGGTCAAGCGTTTCCACCGAAAATCGGAAGTTTTGATTCAGTTTTGAAACTTGATTTCGTAGTTTATTCGACTTTGTTTTATCGCGAAGCCCAACTTATAGCCCAGACACCAGTCTTAGTACTTTTACACAACAAAATATATAATTATTTTGCTCACTAAAGAAGTGTAGGACTCTTCTTTATAATATTGATACTATTGGACGCAAATTGCCGGTGCACTGTAATTGAGAAATCAATATTTTTGAGTGCTAGATCTAGGCCTAGATCTAAATAGTCAAAATATTTTTTTCTCCCCAAAATCACTACTTTTGGGTGAAATTAATCATACCACTCAAGACATGTATAGGTTTATTCCAAGTGCAATTCTGAATAATTCCATATAAGTTACGCGTATTTTTTTCTGTTTGTGATCCTTTTTTCAAAATTATTCTAAAAATTTTTTTTTTTTCAATATCGGATGTTATGATCCAAATGTACAAGTATTATGGAATGTATGAAAATATCTGCACATTTTTCAATATTTTCCTGTTCTATATACAGTTATGGTTATTTTGAGGTATCATTTGACTAGGTGCAAACATGTTTTTTTAGTTTCACCTGAGATTATAAATTTTTTATTTTCCAATTTTATCCGCATCCAATCACAATTGTGTTGCATAATCGCCTCTTACAGGAACCAAAGTTGAAAAATACGCAAATAAATAATGCAGGTGTATTCTACAAACCATACTGAAAATGTTGGTATATAATATGTTGATATTTATTTGAATTTATGGCCCCAAAGACCTGTGAACTGCGCACTAGTCATCATCTCATTTCGCCCTCCCGAAAAGAATTCGTCCACAAGCCGAAAATAATACGTAGCGAATGAGTGAACAGGATAAAATAAAATAAGTAAAAATAAATTAAATATAAAATGAAATAAATAAACGTGTACATAACATTTTGTTCATCCCATTGGGAAATTTGATGCTGAGACTTTAGAAAAAATAGTGGTAAAAAGATTAAATCTCAACTTTTAAGACAATACACACAAAAATCTCGAAGTACCGAAAGTTGCTGTTATGCTGTGCGTTGGCTCGTCTCTTGCGTTGAGCTTTCGCCCGCATGGACATTGTGGAGGCGCTGAGGTGGCCGGCCGACATCGGGGAGCGGGCGTCATTGCGTCGTCCCAGGGTCGACATGTCCCCCATACTGGCACCCTGGGGACACACATTTGTGAGGCGAGCTGACAAAATGAGTTACTTCTCGCAATTCAAGAATGGAGATATTGGTCAAAAATCGACACTGGGGTCAGATTTATAGATTTTTAATCCATGTCATTTTCTTCAAGACTATACCGAGTCTTTTATTATTTCATACTTACAAATTGTACAAGCTCCACCAATAACGTTGATGTATTAATTTTCATGAGGCAAGAAGCCGAGAAGTAACTCATTTTGTCAGCACACCTCACATTTCTCAACTTTACTTTTACTTTTTTTTGGTGTGTCTTTCCTTGCCCAATCCAAACAGATTGGGGTTATATGACGATTAGTATAGCGTTGCGCAAGTGATGTAATGTTAGAGCAGAGCTATTTTACTTACTTTTTACATTGGTGGGGCATGCTGACAAAATCAGTCACTTCTCACAAATTGAGATATTGGACAAAAATCGACGCAACCGTCAAATTTGTAGATTTTTCTATTGATGCGATATTCTTTAAGTATAATATACGCCTTTTATTATTTCATAATCATAAATTTTAACAACTTCACCTTTAAGCTTGACGAATATATTTCCGTAGGTCTCAAATTCGAGAATTAACTCATTTTGTCAGCACCTTTCACATTTGCATTGTCAGCCTCTGCTAACTTACTTACAGCCTCCAGAGGAGAAGCACACGTGAAGGTATTGGGGTTAATTCAGGGGAACCTGTTCTTACAGGGACCTGTCCAAGACGATCACCGGCACTAAAAAACCCACTCCCCACTCCACCCAACCCACTCTGGGTGGAGGTTGTTTTTTTTGTGCGCATTATAATGACACTGTCTAATTAACATGTTTACCTGCCTAAGATATCCACTTTTCTCCTTGATATAATTATGATAATGATAATAATGATAATAATGATTTATAATGAAAACAAAAACAACAACAACAACAACAACAACAACAACATCAATAACAATAAT